ATAGCAGCAGAAACAGCCGAGACACACACCCACGCACTGTGCCGTCACCCCTTCCTGAATTGGGCCTCACACGTGTAAGGTTGTCGAAAGCAACGGAGCTGTCACCTGCACGTTTCCAAGAGGTATCGAAGCTGTTACCCGTACGTTGCTCAGACGCATCAGAGCTGTCGCCTGCATGTTTCCCAGAAGCATTGGAATCGTCAACCTTTTTGAGTTCCTTCTCACTCAGTGGGTGATTGTACAAAAAGACATCGTTTACTGTCACACTGCTGTTTTTGCCGCCACCAAAGTAAAAGTGAGTGATATCATGCCTCCGTGCCTCACGGGTTGGTAGTGTGTCGGAACTCTCCACAAGCACGCCGTCCACGTACACGGAGCCATTGTTGGACTGCAGCATGAGCGCCACTTTATACTCCTTCCCCGGCTCCCAAGTGCTGTTGCGTATTGTTGTCGTGATGCCGTTGAAGACTGTTACCCACTCGTCCGCCAGGGTGTACGACAGCCCCACAAACTTCGTGTTTTCATTGTCCTCCAGGCCCGCACCCAGCAGAGGAACGCTCTCTTTCGGAACCTGATGAATCTTCACCGTCGCCACAAGCGTAAACTCATAATTCACAACGCTGTACATGTTGTGATACTTCCGCATGTTCACGGGCCACATGGCGTATGACTCGGACCCCGTGAACTCAAAGCCATTTTCGACCTTCTTTGCATTCGTCACAGTTGCATTCACGCAACGGTACGCGTCGTTCCAAGTTCCTTCACCAGATGCATCCGACAAGAATCCAACCAGACCGGCCGTGGGCACAGACGAGTTCGAGAGGAAGGAGTCCAGTTTTGCCCAAGTCTCCAAGATGGACGTGATCGTCTTCAGCTGCTCCGTTAGGGGAGCAAGAAAGAGACCTATGGTCGTTGTACTGATCCTCTGTTGTAAAAGGTGCAACGCATTGTTAGAGTATAGCACAGCGTGCTCAGACGTACACTTCTCTGTAGTGTCCATGGAAATGGGCCCAACGTGAAACGTGCGGTTGTTGTCAGTGACCCAAAGGTAGAGCGCGGTGGCTCGCGTCTTCTCCCCAGGGGGAATCCCTTTCTGAGTGTACAGCATGACCTTCTTTCCAGCAATGGTCACAGTGGTGAGGGACCCCACTCCCACAGCTGTTCGCAAAGAGTTTGGTAAAAACCTGGGATGCACGCGTGTGAGTGTCCTGACAGCCACTGTCCACGTTGCCCCCATGTCCCTCGACTCGAACACCTTGGAGAGCGAATTGCATTTGGCAATCATGACAAGCTGCCCCCGCTCCCACTCAACGATGAGGGGGTCATTGCACCGCGGGGGGAGCATCCCATGTGAAAGCGTCCAATTGTTGCCGTCGTCCTTCGAATAAATGATCATGGGCACAGTTTCGTTGTCTCCTGTCCTCCTCGTCGTCACAGGAAACACAAGCGTGCCATCCTCCATCACAACGCCTGAGCCACCACCACCTATAAATTCCTTCACGCCACGTTGTTTAGCAGATGGTTCGATCTGTGGCAAAAGCGAGGTGGGTTTGCCCCATTGGATGACTTTATATTGCGTGGCCTCACCCACGAACAAACCAAGACCCTGTGAGACTTTAGTCCACTTCTTCGATGAAGGATAACACTTCTGATAAAAGTTTCCCACAAGTAGGAAGACCTTGTTGCCCTTTGCAATTGTTGTGGGTTTGTACGCATATCTCACACGGTTGTTATGCTCCTCTTGCGTGGTCGTGTTAAAGATGTCGTACGCCTTCCATTTGTTTGCATGGACCTTAGCGACAAAAGACGACCAGCTCTCCGCATAGTCAATGTACCCCGTCACAGCATCAACATAAACGGGCCAAGGTTCTTTCTGATGGGTGTGTTGAGAGTCGCTGTGACCCTCGGCAAGTGCAACCAAAACTCCACCAGCACTGACGAGAGAAGGTGAGACAAAGAAGACCCTCGTTCAACTTCCAGCACGTGTTCCCACAATCGTTCGATGAGGCACAAAAAGATCGATACCCTCTAGCGGCTCCACGTCTTTTGGCGTACTTCTCTCCTCAGAGTGCACAGCCGTACTTCCAAAGCATAACAACAGCACGCAGAGAAGAAGCACCGAAAAATAAAACAGGTGCCGGGACATGTTAAGCTTGTGCCACTGCTCACTCATTATCTTCCTTCCCTCCTTGTGCTGGATCAGCTCAGGCCTCGACGATTGTGTGTGTGTGTGTGTGTGTGTGTGTGTTGCTGGTGGTGACTGCAGAGTTTTTCAATGTGCACAACAACAAGTAGCGTTTGGTCTCTTTCCTTCCGAGCGCGTTGAGAGGAAAAAAATAAGGTGAAACCAAAATAAAATAAAACGATGGGCACTGCCCGCGCTCACAGTTGGGCACCCCGCAAAGAAATGCGACAATCCAAAACTGAGGCAGCACCGACAAACGCACGGGCCACACGATCACACACTCGCCGCCGCCCACAAGAAATACCCACACGCACCCGCACGGAGAGTCCGCAGTGTGGGACGCCTCCCACAGAAATTAAACAACAAAACAAATTCATAAGCACCTCGCTTACCGTCTCCCCCGCCCAGCCCCTTCAAACCCCGCCAGCAGCAACACGCAGTGCGCATCCCGGCGAGACCTCCCATCACGGCCACCACATACTCCCCAACGCCGCCCACTTCCCTCAGCGCACTGCAGCAGGAGTGGGGCGTAATATTTTTTTAAAAAAAAACATCAAATAAATAAAAACAATACAAAATAAACCCTGCGGAATAAGAGCGGCAGCCCCCTTTCCTGCTGCCTCGCTCCGCTTGCAAGCGAGGGCGACGCCAGCGCAGCCGTGGTCTCAGACTGCCCGGTAAGTGCGTGCATCCCGAACAAGACGGAACAGGCGCATGCGCCCAGGACGGCAACCCAACAAAAGAGAGGCGTCAACGGCGTTTGCTCGAGGCTCTCAGCGGCGCATGCGGCACCCCCCATTGGAGCCGCACGCCAACCAAAAACGATGGCACCCAAAAAAACAAAAGGGGAAAAACACCACGCCAACGCGCAAAAACAATCACAATAATTCGGTTTGCCCCCGCCTTCTGGGCTGTGGTGGCCGCCGCATTTGCTTTCCCGCCTGTGAGCCCACTCAGCATGCAAAACTTACCCTCTCGCCCAAACTCTCTGCAGCAACAAACTGGGAACAGCGAGGAGATACCACCAATGGAATACTGCCGGCGTACACCCACAAGGTGCCATCATTCCCCACACAATTTTACTCGCAACCACAACAAAAAAAAAGGTGCTGCTGTGGTAGCGCTGGCCGCAATAATCATTTGGCGCACGGCAGAGCGAGTCCCTAAGTGCGCCTCCTACCCACACACAAACACACTCGGCAATATATCATACTCCCTAAAATACTTCACCAGTAAACTCAAGCTGTTTATTCCCCTCCTCCTTTCCCTTGTCCCTCTGGGTGTCGCCCACGTTGGGTTTGTCGTTCACTTCTGAAATTTTCAGCTGATACCGCTACCTCGCACTGACGCACCTGCTGATTTCAAAATGCCGCAATGGCCTGAGGGTCCTCACGCTCATTGCTGCCCGTTGCATTTGCGTGCGCGACGACAACACATCCCTGCCACGCGTTTATTGCCGTACTGTCCTCATGTTGCACGTAAATAATCTCCCACGACAAGCCTTCCGCAAACGTTTCCCAGTCATAAAAATAACTCAGTAGAAGATCATTGAACTGCCTCACCGTGGTGGTTTTGGTGTCATGCTCAGCCCCCGTCGTCACCTGCACCGCAACCATCGTCCTCCGCGGTGCACCAACAAAGAAAAAGCCGTCCACAAGCGGGAAAGTTCTGCTCTCCGGTACGTATAGCACCTTGTATTGTACATCCAACCTCGGAGGAGTGTGGCCCAGCGCTATTAATGCAACGGGTCTGCTTGGATGTTTTTCGGGGTTCGATTGCAGCACACATCTTTGTCGCCGACGACGTCCTGGTGGAGGCAACTCCTTGAGGCTCAGCATTATATTTTCCACAAAGACTCTACTCAGGAATGCGTGCAGAGTATGCCGCCCCAAAAGTTCCGGAAATAACACTTTATAGTTCTTGCTTAGTCGAAAAAAAATGTCATTCTCCTCATCCACTTCGAGCAACTTTGCAATTAATTCGCTTTCAATGGAAAAACAGGCCGGCATGTTAACAAATCCCTCAACATCGCCTTGTGTTATTGATCTGACAACTTTCACAAGTTTGTGAGAAGCGTCATTCGAGGGCCACATTCCCTTACCTCCAATCATCCCATAATGTACAGCATCTGAGGCGTCGATACCTGCCAGGATGTTATTGGTATCACGCACGCGCTTTCTATATTTATTGTCATTAAAGATGCATCGTGGAATCGGTCCGACGTCATCCATGCGCATGTACATCCTTCTCCAATACTCCACCTGCTCCTCTTCAGTCGTATTGCGTGTCCCCCACGCACACATCGCCTTCACGTCGTTTTCATCGGGGCAATTCATGATGATTTCGATAGCACCCGCCTGCTTCGCCCATGCTTGGAAGTTCTTTTCGTTCGGGGACGACAACATAATGATGCCCCACTCATCAGAGGGCACAACATTAGTCGATGGTTCTTGAAGTTGTCTTGCCATATCGATGATAATATACCCCTTNATTCCAGTCCTAGCCAAATTTACCA